AATCAAGTTGTTGTTGTTGAATGTGAATCCTTTCCCAGCTTAACCTTAGTATTTCTTTCCCAAGAACCTTCTTCTCACACTGCTCACTCGATTTTTCTGTGCCACCATAACAGAAAATCAAGCACAGGACCATGTACATATTAGCTGTAAGCTATAATTAAATGTTTGCTTTCATAACACCATTATCTCCCCTATTATAGGTTACAGTCATATGGTGGACTAGTAATCCAAAATCTGAAGCTGAAGTTTTCAAGTCATAGGGTCAAATCCCACCATAGCCACGGGTGATGAAATATGAATTTGGTTAATAACAATCTGGAATAAAAAGCTAGTCTAATGGTAACCATGACTGTCAATTGTCATAAAAACCCATCTGGTTTAGACAAGGAAATCTACCATTCTTAGCTGACCTGACCTACCTGTGACTTCTGGTCAAAAGTAAATATTTTGAGATTCTAAAAATAGATGAGTCCAAAAAAGCATGTAAAATGTTAAGTTTCTTACTTTCAAATCCATGGAAATTGCCATTGAAAATAAATTTTTAAAAGCATTGACGCCTTCATGTCTCATCTTTAAGATCATTATAAGAATAACTATGTAGGAAGATAGCGGGTGTAAGTAATAAAGCATTCCATTTGACAAACAATTTATAACCCACTTCTGTAAAATCACTTTTTTGTTCAAATTGTTCAGTGGTTCAAACTAAGGAACTTAAACAAAAAAAGTTGTTTTGCACCAGAGAAGATGTTGGCATAATGGTAATGTCACTCGACTAGGTGAAATTTTAATTCAATAAAAAGCTAGCCTAATGCGAACTATGTAACCTCTGTAGATTGTCGTAAATACCCATCTAAGGATAGAAATCTGCCATCTTTAACTGTTCAGGCCTACATGTGACTCCAGACCCTCACCAATATGGTTGACCCTCAACTGCCTTTTGAAATGGACAGCCCTGGAGTAGTTAGGAACGAACAACAAATGCTGGCCTCGGCAATAATACCTGCATCACATGAAATAAGAAAAGAAGTGAACAACATTGCATGGCGACGGAGGGAAATGTACAGAGATTTCATTGGTGGGATGAGGACCATGCTGAACTTTGAAGGTGAAAGTTTAAATATGGGCATTCATTCACTTAGGGACAGAAACACAAACTAGTTAGCAGATACAATTGTGACTTTTAAAGGGCATCTTGACAAATAAATGAATAGGATGGGAATAGAGGGATACGGTCCCTGGAAGGGTAGGGGGTTTTAGTTGTGACGGGCAGCATGTCGGTGCAGGCTTGGAGGGCCAAAGGGCCTGTTCCTGTGCTGTAATTTTCTTTGTTCTTAGGTCCATAAATGGAATTGGTCATGGTCAGGGTTCAGTAAAGTTTGTTCAGTGTTTCTTTGAGATCTTTGTTGAGCTTTAAATGCTGCTTTGCTGAAGATAGGAATATTGGTTAAAAAAAAACTACAAATTATTTGGCTCCTGTTTCTAATTCTTCTAGAAATCCTTTCAGCTATTTCTGTCCCATGATGTGCTGGTTGAATCAGTTTCATGCATTCCATTGTAGGGTTTAATAATGCTCGCTGAAGGCATTTCAAATGATAAACTGGAAAATGCAGTGAGGCAGAATACTGGCAGGTATTAAAAACCAAGCTATGAAATGTAACAGGTGAAGCCTGCAACTATGATAAATCAATTCAGCATTAGCACTGTTGTCAAGTGCAACCATCAGTTTACTCACAATGGAATTGCTTAGTTCATGTTACTTATGAGTTACATTTGGAACCTATACAGCTGATGAAAGGAGAAAACATCTATTCCATCAGTATAGGTTGGATTTACCCTTAACAAGTAAAGGAGAAGTGCATCAGTGATTCCTGTGTGCTCCCTGATTTATAAATTCATTTTCAGGGCACTGTGGATTCCTGAGTCATGCAGCTCCTTCTCATTCTTGAAGATTCAGTATATTAAAATAGCCTCTAACTTATTTGGCACAAAGTAGTTTTGTAATTTGTTTTTTTCTTATCTCTTCTTGATCTTCTCTCTAGTGTGCTGAGAAATTGGAAGCTATTTAAGTTGTGGAAGCTGAATAGATACAATCAGGCACAGTTCACCACATTGTATGACCAATAACTACAGATGTTGGAATCTGTTCTGAAAACAAAAAAAAATGCTGGGGTTCACAGCAGGTCAGGCAACATCCGTAGAGAGACAGCAAGCTAATGTTCCCGGTCTAGATTACTCTTTATCAGAGCTGACATGAAGTAACTTCAGTACGGTTTACCACATTTGTCATTTGGCACCTAATATGAATGATCTTTCATCCTGATTAATAGTGCACCAATATTTTGCTAGGGGTTTTGTAGCACCATGGGTAGCGGCCCTGCCTCTCAGCCAAAAGCTTCAGATTCAAATCCCACTCCATAGTTGAGAGACTGTTGTCTCTCAAGCTGTAGTCCTTGGCCCTAGTATAGTGAACAGCTCCAGAAAAATATAGCAATGGAGACAAACGTAATGTCTCTCTCTCATGACAATAGGTGTGAGGAGAGAAAAGAAGATAATGTGGCTGTTAAGCCATCTAGGTAAGAAAATTGGAACTTCACTTTCCAGGCTATGCTGAACTAATTAATCACTAGGGAGGTGATAGTCTACTGGTCTTGTCGCTAGAATATTAATCCAGAGACAAGGCAATGTTCTGGGAACCTGAATTCAAATCCCACCATGGCAAATGGTGGAATTTGAATTCTGGGCAATTAAGGATGAGCAATAAATGGTGGCCCAGCAGGTGATGCCCACATTTTATGAATGAATGAATATATTAAAAGTTTATGCAAATACCCAATGGTGGCCACAAAGCCTATAAGCAAAATACAAAAGATACTTTGCCAGTGTGGACTGTAAATGTCAAATTAATGATCCTGCTTTTGCAATCAAAAAATAAATTGAGTCTCCTAAACTAGAATGTTGATCCCAGGTTGCAGTTAATGAGTAACAATGTAAACTAAATGGTACAATTTTAGCACTGGTGTGTCAAGAGACAGCTAGAGCGTTGAGAGAGGTTTTCCATTGTTCAATTATGGGAGGAATCGAGATAAATTGAAACAGCTGTAATAAAGTCATGCAGCTTTTGCTTGGCTTTATAAAAAGAAGCATAGGAATGAACCTTAACTAACCTGACCTATCAGGTGCCATTGGAGCTGGGTTGAACAGTAGAATGTAAGAAAGCTGGAACTCAGCTCTCTCCTGCATGTGATGGAGTTTTAACTTCAATTTGTGGCATCACCTGTAGGTTTGCTTCCAGGAAGCCAGCCTAATTGACAGACTTGGCTTTCAAGTGGATTAGCAACAGAGCAAAACAGGCAGCATGACAATGTAATCTATGCCTTCTTGATGGGGCAGCAGGTGCTGATCCCAGATGCAGGGATTTGTTGGTGGGTGCTGAAAACAGGCTGGATGAGGGTTAAAAGCCTGGGTTGTGAGGGAGAATGTAGAGTGGGAGAGTGATCCCATCCCTTTGTGGAATGATGCAAGATGGACAGTGGATGGTGGACAGTCCTCACCGAATAGAGAAAAGGGTCCAGAGGCTCATGGAATTCAGCTGCCCATGATAAAACTTAAGAAGGTGAATAACAATGATATTTAATGTGTCAACCCACCTATTCAGAGTGAATTAATTGACTCTTTTGCACTCAGTTTGTGCAGCTGAAGACGTGACAGTCAATAGCTGAGCATCTTAAATTGTGTAAGCACAAGAGGTCAGATTTAATGATATCTTGGAAGGTTGTGAAGGTGGGAGGTACCGGGAGGGATAAGGCAATCAAATGATTTGTAACCAAGGTTGAGAATCTTAAAGTTGAAGAATTGGTGGAATGGAAGCCAGTATATTTTAGCAAACACTGGGGGTGATAGGTGATTAGGATGTTGTACAAGTTGAATTACAGGCAGCTGAGCTTTAAATGAGTTCAAACCTTTGTGAGGTATAACATGAGAGGACAGCCATGACAGCAATATATTAATCATGTCTATAAATAACAATTTATTGGAATATCAGAACAATTTATTCCAAAATTAGAAGGTTATTTTGGTGCCTAGAAAATTGGTAATAAAGGTTTTAGGATTATCACAAATGAAAGATTTTTTTTTTAACCTCGACTACGATTTTAAAAATATAGAAGACTCTGCATCAAGTACTTACTGAACCAGGCTGTACAGCATTATTTGAATGAGATTTGGCCATGTATTTGATGAAGAAGATTATAAAACAATACAGGAAAATGCATTGGAAATTAATTCAAAAGCTCTAGCTGCAGAACTAACAGAGCTATGATGGGCCTAATTTCTGTGGAAATTTATTTTTCTTCTTCATTTCCAGTTTGTTCTCTTTTTTTATATTTGGAGACTGACTGTTTCACTTGCTTTTATTTTGTCTGACCCTTTACTTATTTTACAGGTATTTGAAGTAGCAAGAGTTTTAAGATTTTAAGTCTTAAGATTGAATGTTTTCTTATCCCAAACATTCTATCAGTAATCTGTTAGGTATACTAACTTCAATTTACAGGTTTCTGCTGTGATCTCACTTGCTAGCTAATCTTTATGTAATGATCACTCATCTGCAGAGTGTAGTGTTCATCACATCAGAAGTAACTTCAGGAACCAAGTTGATGCCTGAGTCTTTCCTAATGTATCCTGACATATTGTGAGATGAGCTACTTTTGTGTTATATTTAATTTAGGTCATTACACTTCATAGTTTACTTTGGGCAGACGCTGCTCATTATTCCTGTATTTATCTCACTTATTTGAAGATTATGACATACAAAACGGTTTATGCAAAACAGAAAGTGCTGGATATACTCAGCAGGTTGAAACAGCATCTCTGGAGAAACAGATTTAGCATTTCATGAGCAATAAGACTCTTCTTCTCCAACACTTTTTTTTATTTCAAATCGCCAGCATTCGTAATGCTTTGCTTTTATTTCTCATTCACTTTTTTGTTCCATTTCTCTTTAGGATTTTCTGGTCGTCCCATAGATGAAATTGTAAGGTGAAGCTCGTCAGTGTCTGTCTATGCAATGTGAAGAGGAAAACGCATCCAAAGGGGAACACTGTACCTTGTTCAGAGTTTACACAAAGGCTGGCTGTGCTGTAAGCATTGTTGCAGGTTGCCCGAAGAATTGAGGATGTTGCACGGCGTTTCAGGATATCTGATGTCTTGGTTCTCAGGAGACTATTACACATGGGCACACAATGACATTTTGGAGGCCAAATTTTGAGCAAGTTTGAATCTTCTGCTAGTTTTGGTGGAATTTTAAATTGAAGCCTTTTTAGGCCATTGAAAATCTCCATCTATTGGCTATCACAAGACAATATCCAGTGATGGTTTGGGGATGCCTTCTGCCTAATGATGAATATTTGGAATTTTTTTACCTCCAAATGATGTTTGCAGAATTTGGAATTCCTTATGCCTGTTCAATGACCTCTTACCTTGGACCCTGAAGGGAAAGATTGGAGCATGCACAGAGTCCAGTTTCTCTCACTAAAGCTTTTGATCTTCATAGGTTTTTTCTGTATTCATACAGCAGAATTCCCTGAGGTGGACTTATTACCTTTTTTAGGGCTGGGAGCAAAAGCTCCATTTTTCCCAAACATTCCACTGTCTTTTGTTCAGTTTCCAGCTGATTCTTTAAGATGGGCAGGTGCAACTCTTGTATGCAAATTGTTGTGGGCCTCGAGGCATTCTAGAGTATGATGGCAGTACTCAGCCCCTTACCCAGGACCTAGCATTCTTCAATGATTGTGAACCATAAGCACTGGTCATAAAGACCAGAAGTGTTAAAAGTGACCACATAACTGGTGACACCTGGACTGACATCGTGGCCAGTCATGTCATTGCAGCTATCAGAAGCTATTCCATTCCTTTATTTTCAGTGAGCGTACTCTACATAATGTTTTCTCGTCAACATGTTTGCCTGGTATTTTTCTATATGCTATTTTGCAGCCGCCTTAATCATTCCAATTTTCTATTGTATACCTCAAACGGATTTTTGTTTTCTTTTGTATATGACCTGCATTTTTCCTTGCCGCTATGCAGTACTGGATTTGTATGGGGTAGGAAGGGGGAGGGATGGTACTTTTGGAAACAATAGGTCAGTGGGAGGCTGACAAGAGCATAACTGGAAGAGAAAGCTTGCCTCTGCCCTGGATCTATGGTAATGTGCAATTCATTTGGGCTTCCACTCATCAGAATAGGATGGAAGAAAACAATTACCAATTCAGATTTTCTATGCAATGATGAGAAAACTGTGTTAATATTTAATACTGAATTCAATGTTATATATAAATGGCGTAAATTAAGATTATGCTACTGATATTGAGAAGCAATGTTTTAAGTGTAACTCATTACCTGTTGTGACCTGTCAAGTGAGGTGTTGTTGAACCTTTTGACGGGATCCGTTGCCAAAGGCATCGCCATGTTAAAACAGTGGACTAGTACTGTGCTTGTCTTCGTCTCCAGGTTAGAGCATGACTTGCTGATTCAGTGCTTGCCTTCCATTTTGTTTGGTATTGTAGTTGTTAGCGTTGCCCATATTAACCATATGCACTTGCTCTTGGCAAGCCACGACCCAGGAAGTTCCAGCTGTACTCGGGGAATCCAATTTGTAATCTATTAGATTTCCCAGTCTTGGGGCAGGACATTTCTGTTTAAACTGGATACATCATATTCTAAATACCTGACTCTCTCTACTCTTCCAGCTCTGTTGCTAATGGAATGACAATCCAGACTAATAATTCCCAGATACAGAAGCGCTCAAGTGTTTTCTATTTATGGATACTAAAGGCAAATTAAATGCACATACGTCAATCAGAGAAAGATGAGGTGGGGTTTGAGATGACCTGAGGAATATAAGTTAAGCACATTAATTTATAGTTTGGATGGTCAGACTTTAGATGTTGAACTCAGCGCCTTGAAGGTCAAACCATCCAGAGGCTGGTGATTTATTTTCAGTTTAATGTGTAGGATTTTTGGTTTCGGTGAGGTTTTTCCAACTTTTGTGATCCTTTTCACTTCCGTCGTTGGACTATCACCCGCCTGTCATGAACCCCCATCTGGAAACAAGTGGAATTATTACAAACTCTAACACCGACATCACCAGATCATCTATCAGCATTTGGAGTCCATCCAATTTCAAATTACGGATCAATCTTCAGTCATCCTCTAAGTTCCAGATGCCTCTGCCATCAGCTACTTTCTGACGAATGAACATCATCAAACTCGACATATGCCTTAGAATATCAACCTGATGTTCTACCCTTTTGCTGGCAGAAACCTAGAAAGGAATTTGCATAAAGTGGGGCTGTTTATTGAAGTTGACCTATGGACTTCTTCCCAAGATTTAAGATTCAATCAATAGAGTCCTAAATACCCCTGTTACTACGTAGAGCCTTGGGGATATCACTTTTTCTCGGTGGCTGACTGGTTTCACTGATTACTGCTCCCTCCCCATTTTGTGTTGTTTTACCCGCAATCAGCAAGCTATCTGCACCTTCCATATGTTGTGATGTCAACCTGTATGTATGTTTGTATGTGCAAGTGTATGTAAATGCATGAATAATCAATTCTGAAAAAAACAGTTGGTGTGAACTTATTTATGACTAATCATGTATTCAGTGAGCACTCGAAGACAAAAACCCTTCAGGGTGACACTAACATTTTGGGAGATGCAGTCACATTTCTATATAAAAGTATCATCATAAGAAGATGCTTTTACAGTCTAATCGGCAGCATATATATTTATATAGAGGTACATCAGATTGAGGAATATAATAAGGTTCTGTAAAATACTGAAATTTTACTTCAGAGTATCCAACATTAAAAATGTATATAAAATTATTTACAATTCTGTAAGAGAGATGGTGTATATTTTGAAAGCTATAAAAAGAGATTTACTATCTAAGAAGTTTAATGCATTTAGGTTTTAGGTGTTTTTAAGGGTTGTGCAATCAAAGATTTACTTCCTCTCTTGTGTGGTATTTGTGAATGAAGAACACAGATACATAGTCTGTAACTGAACATTACTATCCACTGGAAATAATGTTATCCTGCATCCCACCACAAAGATCCACAATTATCTCTCAACCAAAATAGGACAGTAAATTGCATTCGGACTTCTTCCTGGAAACTCTAGAAGGACTGAAGTTCTTCATTAAATCTTTGCAGCCATTGCATTCGAAAGAAAAATTCAAATCTTATTTAACAGGCTATTACATATTTGAGACTCTCAGTACAGGCAATGAAAAGTGAATAAGAGAATTCTCATGTATTCAACATTAGGAAAATAGAGGCATTTTAAAATCAAGATCTCAATTAGTTCTAGTCTCTTAACATGAGCAACTTAATAGGGAACACTGCCACTTTGAATATTTAACAAATATCCATGAGAGGTTGAATTAATAGGTTATCAGTTCAGGCTGGGCTGAATCCATTTTCATTGATTGAATGAGCAAATCATAGGTACGCAACTTCTCAGTCTTAACTGTCAAAATGTTGCAGATGGTTTTCAAAGGTACATCTGGTGCTCTAATGCTGAACTGCTGGATTACTGCTACTCGAGAACATTAGTGAACTTTATGAATAGCAAAGTAGCCATCAAGTAGTGCAATTGCAATTTTGTCTGGCATCCCATAGACTTTTCATAACTAATCTCCATAGGCCTTGGACGTCAGCCATGTAGAGTGTAACTGAAAATGCAAGTTAAAAGTATACATGCTGACCATCAAATGGTTAGAATGGAATTAAGAAGCAATTCTTTATAAAAGGCCATATAAATCAATATGGTATTTCAAGCACACACAATGGGTTTCAAAATGTAAACTGGGGTAGGTTAAAAAAGTTTTTATTTAATGACGATTATTTGAATCAGATTCTTTATAGAGATTAGGGACATCTTTGCCTATTTTTTGTGTTTTTAAGTATTACTCTGAGGATTATTAGTGAGTAAATGCAATGTACAGTTTGACAAAAAGGAATTTCTTGTTTTGAGATGAGACTGTAGGTTGGGTTCAGCGTGGATGAAGTGCTTTTAGAAATCGTTGTCTAAATGTCCCTTTAACAGGTAAAACATAATAAAGTACAGGCCACACAACACCACTAACAGTACCAAATCACAAATTGCCACAGAGGCCACACAAACATTCAGTTTTATCACAGACATTGGCAGACATCTCCAGTCACTAAAAGTTACAATCTCCCCTCATAGCTCATCTGTTGTCTTCATTTGCTGATGAACCACATTCTTGAAGAAAGACACTACACTGCAACCTTAAAGAAGGTGAATTTAGAGGAGATGAGTGTTGAATGGCATTTGGAACTGAGGTCAATATTGTGCAGTGCACAATAATTATATTAAGAGGCTACCCTTGGTGTCTGAACAAGTGAATAGCTGGAGCCCTGAACAGTCAGGTTATTATAGGGTGATAATAAGGATGCTTCAGTAGGCTTCATTGTCTTTGACTTAGCAGGGAATAAATGCCCAAGGTTCTAGTTGAGAGTAGGTAAGTCTCTCTCACGGCTCCAGTGCCTGATTTTCTTGACCCATTAGGACTATAAGTCCAGAAAAATGGAAAAGGTAGGCATGTTATCTTTATCCTCCTCACTTTGTTTGCCTATCCAATGACAGTGTCAGCCCTGTACTCCCTATATGATGAGCCTTTAGTCAGTGCAGCCTCCACTTTATTCAAGTTTCGTGATTTTAACGCAGTTGATTTGGCTGCTAAAGATGATATTTGTTTCTCTATGTAAATATTTGTACAGTGTGTAAATCTCATCAGATTATCTAAACAGCCACTGGGTGTGGGTATCACATACCAGCAATCCTGCCAACTTATGCTTGTTTAAAAAAATAATTTTAAAATACGGCAAAAAAACCATTGTGTTTGTGGCTGGCTCATATAGACCATTGAGAAACTGTATTCAGTTGTTATCTGTGTAGAGTTTTTACATGTTGTGTATGAAAATGAGGTGACTTCCTAAACTGAACCTGACTTCCATGGACGTGGAAGGAGGACTGTAAAACTCACTGTTATAAGTGCAATGAATAATTCATGTATGAACATTGTAAATGTGTGCTGCACTGTATACTGTGATGGCTGTAGTATTGAATATAACATGATATTGTATAATGTGATTGTGTAAAAGGTGTCCAAACAAATCATTTCCATTGGAAACCAATAAAGATCTTGAAGTAACAAAATTATCAAAGTGCTGCTGTAATCTCGACAGAAACATCTGATGAAATGTAGACTCCACAAACATTATAACCTATTGCTTCTCTTTACAGATGACAGTTGACCTGAATGGTTACACATTTTCAATGTTCATTAGTTTCTCAGTTTTGCAGCCTAGCCTTAAATTTTCCATTATACATTGTTACCAGTTACTTTCCTTTAGTATGACTTTTCCATAAACTCAATATTTACCATGTGCCATCAAGAATTCAAACATCTGTACCTGGTAATGACTTAAAAGTGTAAGCATTATGCAATTATGCATAAGTTACGCAATTCAAATATTTCTAACCACCGTTGGCTTGCTGTTGGTCTCTTTGTCAAGTTTTGTATCTTTTCAGCTGAGTTAAGCAATAGGTTTACCAAACAAAACAAGATTGGATCAATCTAGTGATACAGGAGCCAAGTCTACAAAACCAAATATATTGCTTCGATGGAAAAACTACTGCTAATTTATCTGCCAAAAGATTAGTCATGTAAAACAATGAACAATGGACATTAATATTGCTCTCCTATGGATATATTTGACATTATTTGCATTATATATGCATTTTCTAAAGTTGAATGGATGCCAATAATCTGCAATAATGACACATTGATCATTTTTCACTGACAACATTTGTTAGCTTTAACTCCTCCCTTAACCTCCTCCCTTAACCTCCTGTTATAATGTAGGTCTCAGCCACAATCAAGTAATGAAGAGACCTCGAGACAACAAGGTGCAGAGTTGGATGAACACAGCAGGCCAAGCAGCATCATAGGAGCA